ACAACACTATGGATACGGTCCACTCTGTAAAGGTTACAGACGACTTGATCCAGGTCGTTCGTGTGGAGACATGCGAGTGGGGGTATCCTATACAATGAGTTTGTATAAGACCGGACCACAAAATAGCCAATCCTTAGATGTAACACCGTTAACTAATAGATTGTTGTTTCTTAGGATGACCAGGCAACTCATTCTCAATCCTGGGTGAGTTATGGACTCCTGCTCGCAATGGCTTGTCCTTTGATCTGTATGGGTGAGAGTAGCCCGAGTTGCCGACTCAATATTCCTATCATTTTGGGGACGAGATCGAGTGGGGAGCTGGAAACATAACTTCACATGATGAAATTCACTCCTCTCCGACTTTAGGGGAGTAGATGAGTGTTCCCTTAAATGCTGATTCCAGGACTTGAACAAGGGGCCCCACCCTCTCATTGGCCCGAGAGGGACTTCCGGTTATTTGTCGGACCATAATAGGGTTGTTCATTAGAGGAGCAGTGGTATTTAAGGAGTAAGATGTAACTTAGGGGTAAAACGATAATTTGACCCAACTTGAGTTACGAGCACTCGTGAAGAATTGACTCGTCATTAATGGTCGTATATCCATGGACATGAAAACATTCTGCAGTGAGAAGAGTGCAACTGCGGGTCTTTAGTGGAATGACCTGTAGTTAACGGATGTTGATTAACTCGGTCAATGAGTTTGACAGCTTAATCTCGTATCGTTGGAGCTTCGGATTTGTAGGTCCATTAGGTCCCCTTGCTAGCTCATAACGGGTGCAACAAGGATCAAGTTTTTGGAAGAATTTGAACTGTTCAAATGTAATAAGGGATTATATGTATATTGATACATTATAATATATAGTTAATTCTAAATTAAAACTATATATTATGAGAGAAATTATTTGAATGAAATTCAAATAAAATTAATATGAATAAGATTCATATTAAAACTATAGGTTAAAAATAATGTGCATAAAATGTACCTTAAAACTATAGGTCATATGAGAGAAATGCTATAAAATATGATTCTATTTATGTGATAAATAATTAAGTGTTATATATTAATTAATTATTAATTAGATTAATAATTAATTAATATTTATTAATTAATATGATTAATTATTTATATATATATATATTAATTAATTATTATATATAGATATATATGTTATATATTATTAATATTAATAATATTATTAAACTCCCCTGCAAATTTGCAGGGGAGTGAGGAGTTAATATGACGTGAGGAGTTACCCCACGTCATTCTTCTTTCTTTTTGGATTACAGAAGAGTTCTGCAATGTTGGGTACAGAAGAAAAGAAAGAGAAAGAACTCCCATCTATTCTCTCTCAAGCTCTCTCAAACTCTCCGTCTCATTCCAAAGAAACGCTCCCACAAGCATGTTCTCGTAACCCAAGAGGATAGTAAGGAAGATCGTTTGGTGGTGTTAGAGGGGAATTCGTTGAAGAAAAGTTCTTCAAAGGTATAATTTTTCCCCTGTTTTTCCTTCTTGCACCGCTCCGGGATTCACATCCCTTCAGACAAAAGGTCCGACTTGCTCTCTTTCTTCTGTCACTACTGCCACTGCAGAGCTCTCATCGTACTCTTGATGGATTATGCCGGCACTTCTAAAAGAGTGGTTGAGACGTGGAACAATCCTCCTAGGGTAATCACGCTCCTCATTCTCAAATCTTGAGAGTCGTTTTGCTTTTTCCAAACTCCGCACTCTAATGATGTAGCCTCTACTTGGTTTATACCTCAACCCGAACTTCTTTGTATTCTTAGCCATTTTCAGCAGCTTGTCTAAGCTCCCATTTTCTCCTTTAAAGGTGGCCTCTAAAAGTCGTGGCTTAGGTATTCCAAACTTCCCATGTAAAGTTGTAGCATCTGTAATCTCGAATGATTGGAATGAAGACTCAAAAGCTTCTTCTACTGCTTCAACGTATGGCATCGAAGCAAGCCTTGAGACTAGAATGTCTTCTAGTTCCGATATGATCACTAACTTTTGGTCAACCGCAAACTTAATTTTCTGATGTAAAGTGGATGGAACTGCTCCTGTCGAATGTATCCACGGTCGCCCCAGCAAGAAACTATAAGCTGATGTGATGTCCATAACCTGAAATGTTATGTCAAAGGTGCAAGGACCTATCTGGATCAGGATCTCAATATCCCTAACAACAGTGCTGCAAGCTCCATCGAAAGCTCTTACTATCACAGTACTAGGTCTCATATGGGACATATCAACCGGTAACTTCTCTAGCGTGGATCTTGGCATTATGTTTAAAGAAGATCCATTGTCCACAAGGACTTTTGCTATTAGGAAGTTTTTACACTTAACTGAGATATGGAGAGGTTTGGTATGTCGTGTACTCTCTGGTGGTATCTCCTCATCTGTAAAAGTGATGGAGCTAGATGCCGTTATATTCCCCACAACGTTGCTCAAATTATCCACGGTGATGTCTTGTGAAACGAAAGCCTACTTCAAGGCCTCCAACAGTGTATTTCGATGCGCTTCAGAGGATAACAGTAAAGATAATATAGAGATCTTTGCGGGTGTCCGACCTAATTGTTCAATAACTTTGTATTCACTTTGCTTCACTAGCTTTAGAAAATCTTGAGTCTCTTCCTCGGATACGGATTGTTTAGGACTTGCATCCTTTACAACAATTGCCTCCACCAGTTCATCACAAATATCCTTGTTGAGTTTGGTCTTCCCTTTCTTATCTTCCTCTGCTTTTTCCTTCTTCTCACTTGCTTTCTCTTTATTCTTTTCACTAGCGGGCTCATTCACGCGCTTTAGCAAGCTATCCGGTGTATAACATCTCTCAGTTCGTGTCAAACCTCTTACTCTGGTGATATTGTCAATTGGGAGTGAAGGAGATGATACCTCTTGCCCTACAGTCACCTTTCACTCATATCTCCAAGGCACTGCTTTGGAACTTTTATACTCGAAAGCAGCTGGGACCGTGATAGTGATTGGTTTCCGACTGCAGCTGGGTGCATCTAGCTTTTCACAGTAAAAAATGGTGAGAGGTTTTGGCTTAAGAGAATCACTTGAGCCCTCAGCAACTAAGATATCTTCCACGACATTTGTCCTTTTCTTCAGTTGAGATTTTGTAACAGTAAGGACTTTTGAGTCTAACAACTCTTGAACTCTCTTTTGAAAACGGTTGCATTGCTCAAGGGAGTGACCTTTTGCCCCAGCGTGGAACGGGCACGTCTGACTTCCATCATACTCTTTATACTTGAGGTTTGGGCATAGGTACTCCACTGATACATATCCACTACCCAAGAGATTTTCAAATAGTTCCTCCAAAGGGATTGTAATATCGCCAACCTTACTCTTCGACTCGATCCCTTGGCATTCGATTGCATTTATTTAGACATTCTGATGATTCGGCGGCAGATTCTTACTTACATCAGGCCCATTTTCTTTTTTAAAGTTCAACCAACCTACCCTAATCAAAGCTTGAACTCTGTATTTCAATGCAGTGCAGTTCTTTGTTGAATGTCCTATGGCTCCTGCGTGATAGTCACAACGAGCATTCACATCATACCATCTTGGGTATGGAGGCTGGATCAGATCTACAGGTACAGGTGCCAGCTGATTATTTTGAAATAACTGAGGCAGAAGCTCAGTATAAGTCATGGGGATTGGGTCAAACTGGGTCTGTTTACGTGCCCCTCTATTAGTCTGCTGCCCTTGAGTATAGAATGTATTATACTGCTGACCCCTAGGTTGGAAATTTTAACTGGCCGGGGGTCGAAAATTTTTAAAGGAATAAGGGGAGTAATTTGAAGTTGCATTATTCACAAATGGTTCATTATACCCGTATGGTGTTGGGTAATAATATGGAGTGTATCGCGGTTTCCGACCGTATGGTTGTTGTTTCCAAGAGTGTCAGTCTGCTCCCACCATTTGCACCTCACCTTTCTTCTTGGAATGACTTGCCTTTTTGCAGCTAATAACTCCTCAGTAGTACTGGTTATTTGCCCGTGTTTAACCCCGTATTCGATCGTTTCTCCGATGGTCATAATATTAGAGAAATTTGTGGAAGCGCTTCCTATCATCCGATCATAGAAAGGATGTTTTAGGGTATTGATGAACATGGCAGATAGCTCCTTATCCGTTAAAGGAGGTTGGACTTGAGTTGCTGTGTCCCTACACCTTTGAGCATACTCCTTAAAGCTCTCTGTACTCTTCTTCTCCATCCTCTGTAAATCTAAGCGATCTGGAGCCATGTCTATGTTATGCTTATATTGTTTTAGAAAGGAGTCGACCAGATTCTTCTACGAGCCAACGTGAGAGCTATCTAACTACATGTACCAACGAGAGGTCGAACTAGATAAACTATCTTGAAAGTAGTGTATCAACAATTTGTCATTTTGAACGTACGTTGCCATCTTCCTCCAGTACATTATAAGATGATTCTTAGGACAAGAAGAACCATCATACTTCTCAAACTCTGGCACCTTGAATTTTGGAGGGATGACTAATCCAGACACCAAGCATAATTGTGAGGCATCGATGTTGCCAAAAACGTCCGTCCCCTCTACTGCTCTTAATCTTTCCTCAAGAACTTCGAACTTCTGGTTACTGGGGGCACTTTGTCCGACTGGGTCTGTCTTGGTTGGGTGACCACCTAGATTAAGGACTGTAGGGGGTGACATCATTTGCTCGAGCTCTCGAAAAATGATGTTGGTTGGGATTTGCTGAGCTCCCTTAACAAAGGGATGCAGATACTGACCAACCGCGACGTCATACAGAAGGCTGTACGTTGTATATTGTGGCATGAAACCCTCTGCCACTGGCCTAAGAGGTGGACCGTACCCAGGTGGATAAGGCGGGGTTTCTTGCCCCTCATGGATAGGGTTGCTAGATGTAGCAGGATCCGCAGCCGTTTTGCCTTTTTCCAACGCGAGGAGGATGACATCTAACTTTTCGCGCAACTCCTCTATATCTTTCCTTGTTTTCTCCTGCTCGGCTTTTGGATCTTCCATCATTAATCTTGCCCTGTGTCTGGTACGGTAAGTGCGATGTGGTGCCAGTGAGCGAGCTATCTTGAACAATCCCTTTTGTTTTTTAGAAAAATAGAAGACAGAAAGAAAGAGAAAGAAAACCATAAATAAATAAGTTCGTGACTTTATTATAAATTGGATAAATAAATAAATGAAGATTACAAGAAAACAACAATTATGCCAAATTCGAACCCCAATGCTTAAATCATGAAATTGAAAGTACATTAAAGCAGAGTGTCAATAAAATTGTCCCCAATGCTCTAGATCTCGCTGAAGTTTGCCCAAGAACTTAAGTGTGCTTTTGCCATTCGGCTGTGTAGGGGCAATAGCAGACGTGAGAGCTCGTGCCTCTTCAACTAAACCATCTGCCCTACGGGCTGCCTGTCTGACTTGGATGAGCACATGTTCTGAATTATGACGCAACAATGTGCTATCGCGCCTCACATGATCTAATTCATACCCCACTTGGTTTTATTGTTCCTTCATATGGGCATAATCATGCATTAACTCGTCAGCAGCATTATGGGTTTTATCGAGATGGCTTGAAAGCGCCTAAACAGTTTCCCTTAATCTTTGATTTTCTTGAGCATACTGAGCTAACTGTACTTCTTTCTCCTCTAACACAATGGCTTTTTCACGAAGGGACATGATTTCTGTTTGTAGAGAAGACATTTGTTGTGATATTTGATTGTCTCGCGCCCTCAAAGCTGCTTGTGAGCTTTCTTCATACTTTCTTCTGTTGGGGTCCTGAACCTTTACTTCTAGCGGTTTGTTTTCTTTCCCTTGGTAACCGACCTCTCTTCTTGCCACTGTAATTCCAACTCAATGCTTCGAGGTAGATTTTGATTGAACTCTAGTTGTAGTCTTTCTTTAGCTGATGTGGGATTCCCTTCTCACAGCTCGTATTCTATCATGCGAACCTTCCGCTGAGTGGATTGATTTGGGCTCATTTCAAAAAGAATTCTCCTAGTGAGAGCCTCTAGCTTCCCTTTGCCCTTGTCGGTTGGTAGGAGAACCACAATTTTTCCTCTACTCGAATGCCACTGTTCGTATCCTTCAAATATATTATCGTAGTAATTGCCACTTTGGATTCTGACAATCATCTTCCACGCCTTTACGACCTCCTGAATTTTGTTTGTGCAAAACCCAACATCATAGGCAAATTCAGAGTTTAGTGAATAAAACCAAGTTGAATAAGCACAGAGCTAATAGCGATAGCTCCATTTCTTCATTAACGAATCTCTACTGAAGACTCAAGATATATTCTATCGGCAAACATGTGTTTTCTCCTTTCCTTTTCACATGTTTTTCCATCTCACCAGCAGATATCTTCCCTACAAGCAACGATACTACCCTTTTCAACGTAAACCCATCATCATAGGAATAAACCTCAATTTTCTCTTGTAGTGGTATTTGTAAGAGGGTGTGGTATTCCTCGATAGTTGGGGTTATATCCATTGAGCTAAAAGTAAAGCATCTATAGGCCGGATCCCAATGTCG